TTGTTATTGCCGCTACTGCTGCTGTTGCCGCTGATTTGGCTGTCGCTTTTACAGCTGTGCAGGTGTCCGCCGAAGGTGTGTCAAGAATTGATGAAATTGCATTTTTCATTTCAACCGCAATAAGTTTGTTGCTGCTGGTGACGGTCGACATGCTACGCTTAATATTGTCAAGCATTTCTTCAATGTGTTCAAGCACTGCGTCATGCGTCGCACTGAGGTTTTTGAAGTTAGTAAGCAATTTGTGATTTGCTTCCAAAGTATTGCCAATGTTTTCTTTGATGCCATTCAATGTTGTAGACAGTTCCTTCAGATTAAGTTCATTTATGAACTTATCCTGGCAGTCTTGGCACAAAGGCAGCATGAAGGTCCGAAGAATGTCTTCATGAGTTCGCTGTGCACCAACACGACCTGCGTGAAAGGTCCGGTTGCAGGTGCCATGGCAGCGCCATAGAAAGCGATTGTCTTTTTGCACGCAATTCACTATTCCGCACTTCATTGCACTCGCGTCGGATGATAAAAAAAAAAAAAAAAACGTTTAAAATAAACACGGAGTTCGCGCGGGTCAGTTTTTAAAATATGATAAAAATTGTTTGGATATTTAAAAGTATATACAAGAGCGCTGCTAAAGCGCGTCCGAACGCAAAGGTGGTTCGTTATGGATTGTATAAGTATAAAAAATCGAATTGATTCACATTCCTGGTACTTGGCTGCTATTTATTGAAACGCAAAAGCTGCTTTTCTTCTGATCAAAAAGTCTTTTATAGAGCAAACATTCCGAGCTAAATGCGGCATGGTTGACGTCCAAGTTCATTTTTCGTTCTTTATTCGGTTTTCAAACAATTAATACATTTCAATACAGTTGACGTACACTCTGACGTTTTGTGTTGTTGGCTGCACCTAGAGCATCTATCACTAAAAAGTTCGTTGCTCGACGAAAAGTACGTTTGATTGAACAATATTTTGCGTCTGTTATGACTCAAATTTATGTCAAATTGACGCTCGTATATGTCGCTCTCAGAGCACCTAAATTTACATGATTTTTCTAGATGTGTACTGCCGGTAATCGCAAGTCAGTCCTATCTGCATTTTTATCAATTTTGAGTTAGCATCATTATTTAGTTTATCTTTCTATGTTTTTTGAGATATGCTATTGAAAAACCCGAATTTATCCACCTATGGTGTGATCAGACCCTTCTTACTTATTCAAGTTTATTTATTTTATTGTCATTATCAGTGACCAAGCCCCCCCACCCCCGTGTCATCCAGTGACGCTACGCCACTGCCTGGGGATACCTGGAATATATCCGGGTGTAGTCTATTTGGTGAGGCTACCAATCACCTTATCATCGTATTTTAATGTGATTTAATGGGTTTTAATTCAATTCATATTCAAGCAATTTCCCCGGGGTACCCGGAACATGTCCAAGTGTGTCCAATGTGGTCTGGAACACTTAACACGACTTGCATTGATCTTATTTTTGAATTCTGTAGTAATTTGATGTGTCGCATGATGGTTTTAATACGTTTTCCGTTAAATCCAGTGTGAAGGCCCATATTCACCGGATCTTATTCCGGCCATATCTCCGGAACCGGTTCACCGCTTCCAAAACCGTTCAATAGCGTTCAATGGGACCCCAAGACCTATCATTTGGCGCCGAGTTTGTCCAAATCGGTTGAGCGGTTGCTGAGAAACGTGAGCGCATTCATTTCGTTACATACACACACACATACACACATACACACACACACACACACACACACACACAGACCTGTTCCGATCTCGTCGAGCTGAGTCGAATGGTATATGACACTCGGATCGATAGTCGGTTTTTCAAGTGATATCTATACCCTTCTTTATAAGAAGGGTAAAAAGGTGGTTTGTTCAAGGAAAATGAAAAACAATACCAAGTCAAATTGTCCCACAGCGAAAAGTAACCACAATTAGAAAAAATATGTTAGAAATGTTAGGCAACACATCGCATTATGAGATTTGTGTCAAGACAGATTTTGCCCACTTTCCCTATGGTATCTGGAACATGTCCGGATGTGGCCAATTTAATTGCTACGATACTCAGTTTGACCGCCAATCGATATGGCTTTGAATTATCATGTGATTTGAGGTATCGCTTGATGGAAAGAAATCGGATTTACCACTCCCCCGGGGATACCCGGAACATGTCCGGGTGTGGCCAACATGGTGCTGGTCACTCATCATGGCTCTTATTGATCTTATTTTTGAATTCTCCTGTGAATTGATTTATCGCATGGGGGGTTTGACTCGTTTATAAAAAGCTCTGGTCTGATGAAGACCCATACCATACCAAATCCAGAAACATTCAATAACGTTCTATGGGACCATGGTATCTTTCTACTGTTCAATACAGAGCTAAACTAATGCAGCATCGTCATGGAATTGTGACTGACTTACGGTTATTTTTCTCATTCACGTTAAATGTAATCGCAAGTTAGTCCCACTCAGATTTTGGCCATAAAATAAAAATTTTACGATATTTTTCCAATATTTTTGGGTAAACATAGATGCATTCTATCACATTGTACGTTTATTTTTAAATTTATCCCTCCAACATAAGTGTCAAATCAGAAAACTTTGAACGCCGTTTTCTCATTTCCAGTTTTTTACAGATGGGACTGACTTGCGACTATGCGCAGTGTATGTGTGTGCGATTTTGCTCTCCCTAAAGGTGGGTTTAGACTAGGCAAGATTAACTCAGTTGAATTCTATTGACTTGAAAAATTTTAGTCTGGTTCAATTTTTTTCAATTCAAGTGAGTTGATCAAGTCAGTTAAATGGCATGGTTTACACGTTCAATTCGCGTTCAAGTCAGTTGAATTCAACTGACTTGATCAATTGACTTGTCCTGTCTAAACCCAGCTTAACTAAAGTGCTCATTTGCTCTTACGTGTTCATGTGTGTGGCGTAACTTTATCGGCAACTCAGCTCCAAATGAGTCTGAGCTCCTGGTCACAATGTAGTTGGCGTCAAAAATCTTACGCGCGCCTAGTTCACAGGCGGGAATGCCACATCCCGAGTTCCGGAAAAGCGTGTCACGGAAACTCGGTGCTATTCGCTCATCAGTCTTAGACTGGCAAAAAATATCACTCTGTGGCCGCCCTCGCCGGACGCCACACTCCAAAGTAAAAAAAAGGCTTGACTCACCCGATGATCGTTGGCTTACGTGATGGTCACAGTCGATGACCTATCGACTGGTTCGACGCACTCGCTAGTGATCGTCGATGGTGATCCGATGAATGGTGCTGGCTACAATGGCGTTTCACGAACGACGACGAACAAACGCGCACACTTCAAGATCGATGGGAAGTCACGGACGAAATGTTCGAGACCGTGAATCCTCAGACTAAGGAAAGTAAAGCTCGGACGAACCGGAAGTCCATCATTTCCCGGAACCCTTCGTGTCCTATCGTGAATCTAAAAGCACGAAAGATAACTTAACTCGTTTAATTGTGCGGCTGTCCCTTTCCTACCTTATCCATAAATTAAATTGGCCCGTATTAGAAAAGATTTCAGCAAAAATGCTTGTGTCTTCCTACTGCATACACAAAGGAATTTAATTCAATACAGTTTAAACCTATTAAATCAAATAAAAATTTCCACTAAATTCATGGACGTTACAGTTTATAAAAAAATCATGATAAAGCAAAAAAAGAATGAAGACATCAATATTAAATAAACGGCGCCGGTGGTGTAGTGGTAAGCGTGATTACCTCTCACCCCAGCAGGCCTGGGTTCAATCCCAGTCGGCGCCGCCGGGATGTTCTGAGGCATAACATCTCTGATCACGCCTTCCTTCGGATGGGAAGTAAGCCGTTGGTCCCCGGTTCATGAGTTGATGGGTCGATAGGTAGGGTCCAGGTGTGGGAGCTGCCTCCCTGGCACGTCGGTAGCATTGGTGCTCAGCACGGAAAACAAGATCGACGGAAAAAACAAAACCAAAGGAAAAAAAAAAAATCAATATTAAATATTAAATTTTTGTAAAAATAAATTTTGGATCATAGTTCAAGGAGGATACATCATTGACCTATCAATGTCAAAAAAAGGAGCTTTGTATATTCAGAATCTTTCCCGAAGACACCACTTATCTAAAATGCAAGTTTATCGACATAATGACTTTTGACCATTTTTTTCACACCACTGGACCACTGTGCACCTCTAGGAGGCTGGCGATCTGAGTCCGTGCGCCTAATTCCACTATTTTTGACCCAAAATATAGGCATAGAGATGTTGAGGCTGCATCACCGATAAAATCAACACTTTCAGTTTTGATAAATTTATTTCTTAACAATAGTGACTCAAAATTGAACCGTAAAGAAAAATGGCAAATTTAATCCCTTTTCCCCCATCGACAGTGTCACCAAGTTCCAAAACAGTCTCATAAAATTTTACTCATTTTAGAGCCCAGTTGCCATAATAAAATCCACGAGCTCTCCTTTATTAAATCATTTGCATATTTTCTACGGCCCGTGGACTTTCGCGATAATGACAGGAGCTGGTCCTCGAAAAAACTTTTCCTTCCTTTATAAAAAAAGTATTATCATAAACGAAGCATATTTTGGTCGTAAACAAACGCAACCACCTTAAAGAGTGAAGGGTTCCATCTCACGGCACGACGTCGCAAAATCAAAATTAACACTTTATTTCGTCCATTCTCCAGAAGCCCTGGGTGCTGTCAACTCGGTGCTGCCGTTGGGCATAGGAATGATCTAATTTCCTTTCCCGCAGCAGTCTTTTGTTTTCAAGGAGCGACCGAAGGAAGTTCTGGGAGAAAAAGGTTTTTATAGGTTATTACGATTATGAAACTGTTTATTTTCATTTACACGAACGGGTGCAAGGGACATGGGGTTGGTCTACTAGGCCTGGCGACCTGGAAGGGTGCAGCGCAGCAAAAAGCAGGAGGGTTGAGAAATTTAACATCATTTTTATTTGCCATTTTCTTTCTTGGATTTTACTGCCCAGAGCCGATCCTTTTTCCTATCCGGGGACAATGCCTTAAGGTTTGTTTTATTCCGCTTCAGGTTCCATCATAAAAGTGACGTAAAATTGAATCCAATTGGGCATTTGTTGCGTAGTTGCTTCATTAGAGTAAGTGTGGACATTTCGGATCAACCATATTCGGCGTATAATTCTGAATGGAAAGTTTATCTTATTTGTCAAACTTAAGACATCGTCGTCATTGATCAGTTATAGTTGTAACCCTGGAAATAATCGGCGTCTTGGGGCTTTCTACGCAGGTTGGGCAAACCAGCGTGGATGTTCTCTTCGATTCCACAGTGGTTCTCACCACGGACAATCTTGAAGAAGCCATTATCTCCCCATCCTTTGCCCCAGGAGTTGGCTACCAGCCAGTACTTGGTGTTATTCTCAATGCCCCATCCGAGCAGCTTGACGGCATGACCGCCGGCTTGTGGTCCCCACACGTGCCGATAGACTCCACTCTTGTACGCGTGCAAGTCCAAATAGGTCCAGAAGGTAGCCTGGACCGGTCCGTTTACGAAGATTTCCTCCATGATCTTACGCTCGTCATTCGGAAGCGAGTAAGCAACACGACCGAATCGACGATCCTGCCAAACTTCCGTGACGTTGTAACCCGATTGGCACTTCTTGGAACACTTGGGTGTATCTTCGTCTTCCCCTGGAATGTGACATTCACCTATCGAGTACGGATGACATCCCTGGCGGGAGTTCAACTGGCCACCCGAAGAGAGACCCTTTTCGACCCAGAAGTTCCAAGCTGGTCCAGGAACTCCGCCACGACATCCTTGCCCGCATGAAAGACAGCAAGTCAGAAGATCCATAGCTCCAAACAAGAAATGTTCTTTGCCCTTGGAACGGATGCACCACCGATCGGTCATCGTTGAGGCAGCAGACACGGCCCAGCATGATCCACAGCATCCTTGATCGCGAATCTCCTTCAGACTCTGGCACTCGGGCCACTGCTGACGAGCGTCGAACGTTTCCGGAAGATTAAGATCTTCAACGTCGGCCAAGATTCCCAGCGGCAAGCGGGTCTTCTCCAGCTCGATCATGTTGACACCGCTGCGATAGGATGCTGGTGGTTTCGGATTGCTTCCGGCGGTCCAAGTTTTCGTCAGGTGCTGGAACTTGGCGGCCAACTTGGCGGTAGTTTGGAGCTTGGCCCCAAAATACGATGAGAACGACGACGGAGACTGCTGTCCCGCGTATTGCCGATCCTGGTATTGTCCACTGCCATACTGCTGGCCGGAATTTTCCCCGGAGTACTGATTCTGTTGATACCGGGCGTAGTTCGAGGGTCCAGCAGCACCGCTAGCACCGTAGCCTTGGGCAATCGCGGCCTGGCAGCAGGCCAAAACTAATACAAAACGGAACATCTCTTCGCGATGTTAGCACTCGATCACGAGTCAAATGCTACTTGGAGTCGTTTGATCAGCTGTAAACTATTTATAGAGAGTGGGATGCTCAACAAAGGGGTGCTCTGCACTTGGACACGTTATCAGCGTGAAGCTGGGGCATCACATGCAACAGCTGATTGGTTTCTGTTGATTTTGCAAATTATGTCGCAACAAAGTCTACTGGAAATCTGCATTGAAGTGTTTTCAATCGCTTTTGAAAACATCCGTCCGCTGCAGTGCTATTTTGCCGTGCTCGATCAGCGCTTCTCTGATTGTAGGGGAGATATTCGATTAATCGATCTTGCTATTTTCAAATGTTCAAAACAAAATCACGTAAAAGCAACTGAGTAGCAGCTAACTCCCTCAATTCATGTGTTTGTACCCAATAAACTTAAAACGGGCACATCAATCGTAGGTCATGGAAATTTGTACAATCGCTTTGTAACGTTGAGCTTGGTCATGGTCGTTGTTTGATTTGATGAGACGAAGAGAATCCAGGGCCCCTCTGACATTAACTTTAATACTTTGATCAATGATTTCCGTTTTGGTTGCCACCGTCAGAACGCTTGCCCAAGTAACAATTTTGGGTTTTTGAGGGTTCTGTGGACCATGATTTAGACCTGAAGCATGCTTTAAAACCTCGATAAAACTTGTAATGTTGCTTGGGTGGTTTGGTTCCTTTCATCTCGGAAGAACAAATGGTGACATACATAGGTACAAGAAGCAAGAAGGTTAAAGCTGCTTTAAAGAGTTTAAGATATATTTTGAGATCACATTAAGATCCAAATTTCCGGCTCCCACTTCATTGAAGGCCTTTTTGACCAGTACCAGGCCAAATAGGAAAAAAAATAATAATTTAAGTTTCGACAACTAACATCTTTCTGAACGACCGTCCACCTGAAACATCGAGACACCCAAGATGGATCTACGAGCAGGCGAATTGAGAAACTTTCCAGTCAGCGATAGATGCACGGCTTGAAGACCATCTCCGACTTTGTATCCATGATTAATTGCGCATCCAAATCATCAATACCACGAACGAGTTCTGACTCCCGGACGTAGAGCCCTCCACTGGTGGACCACTGATACAAAGACTGCCGTCAAAGCCAGAAGGAAGGCTTTCCGAGCTGCCAAACGGCTGCCCGAAGGACACCCCGGTAAGGAAGACGTGATGGCATCCTACAGGAAAAGCCGTAACGGTTGCCGACAAACGATCCGAGAAGCGAAGCGGAACAGTTGGGAAAACTTCCTAGAGAGCATCAGCGCACACCAAACATCAGCGGAACTTTGGGAACATGCTAATGCCTTAAGCGGCAAAAGAAGAACCACAGGTGTTGTCATCCGGGCAAACGGAACAGTCACTCGTGAGCAGACCGTCGTAGCAGATACGCTGGTTGACTATTTTGCCAATCTTTCTCGCTTGGCAGATACGATCAGCATTTTATCAGACGGCACACAGTCTCCATCGAATCGTTAGCGCAACTGCAGATCCCGAGCAACCGTAGCGGCCTTCAAATCAATCGCCCCTTTTCCCCAGTTGAACTTAACTATGCGCTTTGGAAGGGAAAGGGGAAATCTGCTGGCTCCGATGGCCTCGGCTACCCAAGTCTACAACACTTGCCCCCAGCAGCGAAGCAAACCTTTCTGCACCTTCTTAACAAGATCTTACGCAACAAATCTTTACCTAAAGAATGAAATCACAGCCTAGTGGTGCCAATTCCCAAAAGCGGTTGCAATCCAGTCGACCCCAGCAGCTACAGACCAATTTCCTTATCATGTTGCACCAGTAAAATCATGGAAAGAATGGTAAATCGGAGACTGATTCAATTCTTGGAGGACCACGGCCACCTTGATCATCGGCAGCATGTCTTCCGTCCCGGTCATGGAACAGGAACTTACTTCGTCACATTGGGACAGCTACTAAATGGCGCCAAAGCGAGGGAAACACACATAAATCGCAACACTCGACCTGTCGAAGGCCTTCAATCGTACCTGGACACCGAACATCATCAAACAGGTACAGGAGTTGGGTCTATCGGGACATATCTTGGCTTTCGTGCGCAACTTCCTCGATAACCGGACCTTCGAAGTATGTATTGGAGCTCACAAGTCAAAAATTTGCCGAGAAGAAACGGTGGTTCCTCAAGGCTCAGTCATCGTCGTCACTCTTTTTTTGGTAGCAATGAACGGGGTTTTCCGTAACCAGTCGAAGGATATATACACTTTCGTCTACGCCGACGACATTGTCCTCGTCACCGTGGGCAGAACACCGAAGGCTGGGCCAGCTAAACCGGATATCAACTCTCCGCGGAAAAAAGCACCGTGACGCACGTTTGCAGTTCAAATCACCGTACCATCCCCAGCACGATCACTATCAACGGTAAAACAGTACCTTTCCGGAAGACAATTAAGATTCTCGGCGTACGCATTGACAGGCTCCTTACCTTTAAAAAACATTTACTGGAGGCCAAAGAGAACTGTTAAACGCGGATAAATTCACTAAATACGCTCTCCAAAAAGCATCGCAGCAAAAATCGAGATGTAAGACTGCGAGTCGCAAAAGCCATCATCCGCAGCAGGCTCCTCTATGGAATTGAGCTTACCTGCAACGCTTCCAATCATCTAACTACAATTCTCGGTCCAGTATTCAACAGCTCGCTTCGAATTTTCTCTGAACTTCTGCCATCCACACCCGCCATATCTACCTGTATTTAGATCGAGGAATTGCCTTTCGCCTTCAGCCTAACCACCGCCGTATGCAAAAGAGCCGTTTGCTTTCTAGAGAGAACCAGGAGCTTTACTGCAGTGGAACGGGACTAGAGATTGGGCCGCTCCGCAAGTGCGCTACGATAAAATGATTAAAAACAGATTTCGGACAGGAGACAACTCGTCAGCTCTCAGAAACACCGTTGTAAAATTACAAAACATAAAATACGCTAACCATACGATCCGTTTCACCGATGGCTCTAAGACACAAGGGCGAGTAGGTACAAGCATGACTGAAGGAATTTCATTCCAGCACTGCCGTCTTCCGGATATTTGCTAGGCTTTTTCCACTAAGGCCGCAGCATTATCCTAGCAACATCTAGTCCATCCACCGGTCCAGTAGTATTTTTTTCCGACACCGCCAACGTTCTATCAGCTATATGCAGCCCGGCCTCAAGGCATCCCTGGATTCAAGAGATACAGAACAGAATCAATAACAACTCGTTTGGATTCCGGGACACTGTGGAATTGCAGGTTACGAAAAGGCAGACCAACTCGCCGCGTCTGAAAGATACGCTTCTTTTCTAACACGTTAAACATCAAAGGACATCAAACAATAGATTTCAAGTACAGTTCGCGCAGCCTGGATGGCCAAGTGACAGCCTTAGACATCCTTTTATACGGAAAATCAATGGTCTTACCTTACCAATCAGGCTAAGGCCTTGTTGTTCTCTGCTGTCCGAAGAAGTCGTCTCCACTCTGCTAGATCCATGGCCACACTTCGCCAGCCTCGTAGTCTGCGAAGGGTCCGCAGGTCACCTTCTACTTGGTCGATCCACCTTGCCCGCTGCGCGCTTCTTCTTCTTGTGCCAAACCTGCACGATCAACTCAGCGAAGCCATAGCTAAACTACCGGAACCGCGCATCCTGGTTGGGGATCTGAACGGGCACCACCCAAGCTGGGGCTGCCCCCGCTCCGACCCTCGAGGTGTTACCCTGGTCGATATTTTCGAGAAGGAAGACATGGTGATTCTGAATGACGGTGTGCCCACGTACTTTCACGGGCGGCATACTTCTGCCATCGACGTCTCTGCTGTCAGCCGCTGCTTTGCCGGAAAAAACTCAGTGGAGTGCGAACACTGATCTCTATGGTAGTGACCACTACCCCATCAAAGTTCAAATTTCGACCTCCATCTTCCCGATGACAACACGGAGGCCCCGATGGCACTATGAACAAGCGGACTGGGATAGCTATGGTGAAGCCTTTCAGTCCTTGTTACTACAGCGTAATCCGAACAGCATTGAAGACTTTTCAGAAGTGGTATACGAAGCAGCGACAGCAACCATCCCAAAGACCAGCAGCGTTCCGGGGCGAAAAGCGCTACGCTGGTGGAATGAAGATACGAGGAAGGCCGTTAAAGCCCGGCGTAAAGCACTTCGCCGTGTAAAACGCCTTCCTATCGGACATCCCGATCGCGAGGACGCTCTCCGTCACTACCATGAGTCGCACAATCAATGCCGGCAAGAAATCCGTGTCGCCAAACGAACCAGCTGGATGGACTTTCTGGAAGGAATGAATTCGTCACAGTCTTCGGCCGACTTATGGAGGCAAGTCAACGCCCTCAGTGAGAAACGGTGCATGACACCGCTCCACGTACAGATTAACGGTGAAGCTGTTTCTGACCCTGCAATTGTAGCGGACGAACTCGGCTCGTACTTTGCCGATCTCGCAGCCATCGAGAAATACGAAGACGAATTCAAGCGGAAAGCTAAGCCTTCGACGTCATCCATTGCAAGTTTTTCTGTTTCTTCTGACGCTGGAAACTCGAACATCAACCAGGCATTCTCCTGGCAGAAATTGCAGCATGCCCTCCGCTGCAGCAACGGAAAGTCGGCGGGTCCCGACGAAATCGGGTACCCCTCAAGAGGTTACCAACGCCAGGCCAGCTACGGATGCTGGAGCTTTTCAACAAGCTCTGGCTCACCAACTCGTATCCAGCGTCGTGGAAAGAGAGCTTAGTCATCCCCACCCCAAAAGCCAATGAAACAACCCGTGAAGCTAGCAAGTTCCGGCCAATAACCTTGACATGCTGTATGGCCAAGGTCCTGGAGCAAATGGTCAACAGGAGGCTAAAGCATTTCCTTGAAGCCGAAAACCTTCTAGACCATCGACAGCACGCCTTCCGTCAAGGGTACGGAACGTCAACTTATTTTGCAACATTAGGGGAGGTCCTCAAGAGTGCCAACGATAGCGGTCTCCACACCGAGATCGTCTCGCTGGATATATCGAAGGCC